TCTTTGGGGATAATATTTGCTCCAAGACCTAAAATTATTTTTAAAGAATGAAGCAAATCTTTAGAAATTTAGATTCCTGATGATAATAGTGAGGATGACCCTTTTGGTCTTCTTAACTAATTACTGAGGTAGAGAGGAGAGATGAGGGGTCTAAGGTGTGCATCATGTGACTTGCCTAAGATGACATAGCTTCGTAGTGGCAGTGCTGTTTCTAGAATTCCTGCAAGTTGTTCCCAGGGCAGGAGGCTCTGGGAGGAGTCCCCAGAGCCTGTGACAGCTGACCTGACCCTGCTTTAAAAGTCAGTTTGGCAGATGTTTCATCAGGGTCCATCGGCAATGAGGAGCTCCCATGAACTTCTTCTTGGGGTGGGTGTGGTGCTGCCAGACCCAAGGCTGGGAGGTCAAGGGGACAAAGTTGGTCAGCTGTGCAAGAGCTGACATGATGGGCCTCTGCTCAGACCCCACTCCATCCCCAGCTGCTTCTGCTCTCTCTGGAAACCTCTACCTCATTCCCCAAAAGAAGCACTCAGTTTCCAGCTCAGTTCAGTCTGTTCAAGAACCAGGGCCTCACTTTGCTTCCCCTGGGGAACACATTGGTGCACATTTTAACTTACTACACTCTGAAAATGATTCTGGGAAACATCTTGGTCACGTTTACATGTTTACTAAGTACTGAGCTCTTGTTATGTGCTAGACCTTGCCCTAGGCACATGCAAAGTTGCCATCAGCTGGTGTCAAAGCAGAAAGACTTTCAGACGGAACCCAAAACAAAAACTGAACTAAACACAGTCTCATGCACCTAAATTTCTCCACTTGCCCCTTGGAAATGTTTGCCTTCAAGGCTGCCTTCATAATTCAATTTAAATTAAACCTATCTGGGGTTACCTGGCTGGCTCAGTCAGTAGAGCATGGGACACTTGATCTCAGGGTTGTGAGTTCGAGCCTCATGTTTGATGTAGAGATTACTTTTAAAAAAATAACAATTAAAAAAAAACCTATCTGGTAAAGAGGTTTGGGAGGAAGGCACAGTAAACATGGGACAATTTGACTTGACCATGAGGGTTTGGAATCCTTTCAGAGCCTTTCCCACTTTGCCTATCCAAAAGAAAATGCTGGGTATTTGGTTACAAGCAATCAGAATGTGCAAAATTAAACACAAATTGCCAGAGCACATTACCTAGGCTTATTTTCCTTCTTGGCATAATAGCAAGTTTAAGAAAAAAAGTCATGATGGCAATTTAAATGAAAAAGGTGTACTGGGTTGAATAGTTATTCAGTTTTAATGTTTCTCCGGCTCCCATTGCAGAAAGCTACATGCTTTGGATCCCAAGATGATATGGTTTGACCCACTATAACTTGAACTTGTGTTTTCAGAGTTGTGAAAAGCTGGTGTGATTCCTTTTGGCCTTTCTTACTCCTTGGTTTGACACCTGATACACAGGCAGAACAAGATTAGAGATTTGCCAGCCGCAGGACAAAAGCAAGCCAACCAAGGTGGGCCTCATGCCCTCATCACCAACCACTTTGCCTTCACCTTAATTTCTTTTGTTACAAATTCCGGCTGTAGATTTTTTGTTTACTCATGCTCTGATTTCCTAACCCTGTGTGGCCATTGCTAACTTCCCTCATAAGAGTGGTTGAGTGGGATTCCTGATTGGGAAAGACAGAAATACAACTAGATATAAATCCCATAGGGATCGTGCTGGGACAAAGAGTTTTTGCTGGGTCTTGGAAGGAATGGAACGTTCCCCAAAAATGAGTCGTTAGGAACTACATGTTGAGAGACATCCACCACTTATGAACTCTGTTGAGCATATTTCCTCCACTCTTCTGGGCATGTGTTTTGGCTTACTATTATTGTGGATTTGGTACCCTCAAATTATATCTTCTCTCCATTTACTTGTCCTTTACCACAAGTATTATTGATTTTCGGAAATGTAGACGATAGTTGTCTATGAGTTCCTCTTCTCCTTCCCCCACCACTTATGATATTGATCTGCAAGGCCTTTATTGTTTCTTCCTTAAACTCCTATAAAAGCTCAGAAGGTTCTTATGCTTTTATTATTTCTCTTTATTCACTGCCAACCTTATGATGATGATCTTTTAAAAATGAAGAATAGCCATCATTTAGTGAATGCATACTATGAGAGACACTTTCCACCCCTTCTTATCAATCCTCACAACGGCCTTATGAAGAGGGTGTTAATCCCACTGTACACAATGACAAAATGGAGGTTTAGAGATGTTAAACTAAGTTTCTTTTTTTTTTTAAAGATTTTATTTATTTATTTGACAGAGAGAGACACAGTGAGAGAGGGAACACAAGCAGGGGGAGTGGGAGAGGGAGAAGCAGGCTTCCTGGTGAGCAGGGAGTCTGATGCGGTGCTCAACCCCAGGACTCGGGGAACATGACCTGAGCCGACGGCAGACACTAACGACTGAGCTACCCAGGCGCCCCTTAAGTTTCTGACCCTCTTAGGTAGGAAGTCATGGAGAACCGATTCAAATCCAGCACTGTCAGAATCCAAAATTTATAGCAAGACCAACGTGTTGTACAGACTGGATCCTGCCCGTATGAAATAAGGGTGCATATAATGTTTTATAATTTGAATGAAATACTGGCCAACATTTAAAAATTCGGGTATTACATTTGAAAGTCTGGATTCCACCTTCCCTTAAAAAAAAAAAAAATTGAAGATTGGGCCCAGTGGGCTCATATTCCTGCAAGCAGTAGCCAGACACTCCTAAGGAGGGCCACTTCCCTTAGTGGAGGCATGTGTTCTAAGGTGAACAGCTCCACTTGTTCCCACCTCCACCTTGTTTATCTTATCACTTTACCCACCTGGGCCACCAGATTGGTACCTGTATATGTTTGATTTTGCAATCCTTATTCCAGTCTCCAGGAACAATCTGTTTCAGGACTTGAGTCCTGGCTTCCCCATCTGCTAACTTTGTGTCCTTGGACTTAACCCTTCAAGGCCTCAGATTTCTCACCTCTACAGTGGGGATAAGAATAGTACCTACCTTTTGAGGTTGTTCGGAAAATTGCATAAGGTAATCCATATAAAGTGCTCTGCATGGTGTCTGGCACACAGTAAGATTTCTATAATAGTTAGGTATTACTGTTAACCATTATTCCAATTAACTACTCCTTCCTCAGAAAGTGGTGTTCAGTAGCCTTTTCCAAGGTCAACCTAAATTGTAAAGTAGGCCATCAGAACCATTAGCCATGGAAGCACTGCTGTGTTGTAATAGGTAACAGAGCGTGTGGTTTTGACATTAGACTGACTTGGCTCAAGTTCCGTCCCTGACATTATGGGGATGTGAGCTAATTATTTAAACTCATTCTGACTCAGTTTCCTCATTCATAAAATAGGCATGATAATAGTACCTACTTTGTGAGATTGTGGTGAGGAGCAGGTGAATTAATACATGTGAAATGTTTCCGAATGGTGATTGGCACATACTGTGCACTCAGCGGGTGATACCCACTATTGAAAACAATAAATCAGAGTTCACATTTGCCAAGCATGTGTTTGCTTCTGGGGAGATGCAGATAGACTATTTTGAATTGGATTGCATGGAAAATTGGGGAAATTGGAAGCTAAGACTCTTGCCTTGATTTCCTGCCCCCTCGATTCCCTGCATTCCAGATTCTGTTCCTTCCATCTTCCTAAAATTGCGTTTTTGAAGGCTCATCATCAAGTCCTGCCAAAGGCCTCAGCCTCGTCTTCTAGTGGGGGTAAGAATTTCAGAGATCAACTAGCCTAACACTGTCAATTCTCAGAAGAGGATGTTGAGGCTGATAGAAGTCCTGTGGCTTGTCCATAGCTAATTTGTGACAGACCAAGAGTCATCCATCAACTTCATTGGTTGAGTAGTTGCTAGATGACAGTGGGTTTACGTTGATTTTGATTTGATTAGTCGGGGGTGGGACTGGGGACCCAACACGCAGCTGGTGTAGGAGCTCTGCTCTCTCCTCTTTCACCTTGTTCTTTCTGCCCTACAATCCTTGCTCCGTGAGGTGCTGGTCCAGCTGATACTGTAAGAGGACTGCTCTGTCTTCCCCAGTGGGACCTAGGTCCCGTGACCCTCCATAGCTTGAAGACCCTGTTTCCGGATGGGTAATGTTTTCCCTTCCCTGTGACTTGCCTCTCTGGGCCACGTTCCGATTTCCCTGCTGGCTTACTTGTTTCCTTGGGCTGGCTGCCTTGTTTGGCGGTTTTTAGCGAGGGCTCTGATAGATGCCAGGAGTGAGGGGAAGAGCTCCGAATGGGCTCAGTCATTGGACAGGCAGACTCGGTGATGGATGAGCCCTCTCCCCAGGGAGTTTTGGGTCAGAAGAAGTCCAACTGATAAGTTTTTCCAGAACTGAGTAACCCAGAAACAGTGCCAGCAACATCTTACCTCTTTTTGTGGGTTTCGTACTGATTTAAAAGAAAATTCTCAGTTCCACATCTATCTAGAAATACAGCTCCATCCACGATAAACTTAGATACATGTGCTATGAATTGTTTTAGAGATAACATTTGAGGGGAGGGGTGGGAGGAAGGAAGAGAGGGGCCCTTAAAAAATCCCTTTCAAAATATTTTCTTTCTTCTAAGTATTGAAAAGGCACAATATAACCCTTTCTTCTTCCAAATGATCTCATAGCTATTTATTGAGGGGAAATACAAAATGTTTATTTATTTTGTTTAAAGGAGCTTCTTTCGTCCTGATGATTCACGTGGATATCATTTTCCTCCCCACTACAGAGGCTCTGAGACAAAGCCACAGCCCAAGTGATATGCCGGTGTCAGACCAATTCCTGTCCTGAAGGAGGGTATGCAACCTTCTATATTTCCCCTTCACAGACGTCCTTGAGCCCTTGAGACGGATGTGAGCGAGTTTCTCAGTGCTCATGCAAAACAACCATCTAAACATAACAGATGACATCAGCTTGGGCTTTTCAATTCCTGGATGGCAGCAGCGTGTTAATCCAGCCTTCATCCTGGATTTCATAAACTAAAACAAGAGAGCCTGGCAAGAGGACAGCGCTGCTGCTGGGTTGAGGAAATTGATGACGGAGAAGCATGCGGGCAACCCAGTGTATAAAACTCATAAACGTGTAGGCAGAGGCTCAGCTACCACTTTGGACAGCTGCTTCCCGCCAGCAAAGACCACGCCGTCCGCGGGAAGCCGAGCCAGAGCCCTCGGGGAAACATGAAGAGCCTCTTGCTGCTGGCCACACTCCTGGTCCCTGCGCACCTGGCAGCCGCCTGGAGCGCCAAGTATGCGGTGGACTGCCCCGAGCGCTGCGACAGCGCCCAGTGCAAAAGCAGCCTGCGCTGCAAGCGGACAGTGCTGGACGACTGCGGCTGCTGCCGGGTGTGCGCCGCAGGGCTGGGCGAGACCTGCTACCGCACCGTGTCGGCCATGGACGGCGTCAAGTGCGGCCCGGGGCTCAGGTGTCAGTTTTACAGTGAGGAGGATGACTTTGGTGACGAGTTCGGTATCTGCAAAGGTAAAGGGTGACCCCTTGCTTCTCCCTGCCCCCCCCCCGGGGGGTCGGAGGGGGAAGCACACTGAGGGCTTTTAGCCAGCATGGGAGGTGCGGAGGCTTTGCTGCGAAGGACAAGAGGGAAAATGCAGGTGGCTTAGGGACAAGGCCCCGCACAGGTGTTGTCACCGGGAGAGAGGGAGAGAAGGAGAACTCTGCAAAACAGCAACTGAAGCCAGTGTGCAGGAAAGCCCAGAAAGCAGTAGTGCATTTCACTCCTTATGTGTAGGAGATTTAAGAAAAAAGTTGCAATGAAAAATTGTGGGACCTCCCTTTCTGGAAAACTTTAGGAACTTGACAGGTAATCTGTTTGGATGGTTTAGGTGCTCTCTCTTCTACAACACAGTGATTACAGAGGTCTGCACTAGATAACCTCTAGGGGTGTCTAGCCCCGGGCTTAGTGATTCTTTGATCTTGAAAGGGTCCACGGGTTGGAGGGCATCTCTCAAGATCAAATATTTCTCATGAACACTAATGCACTTTGTGAAATAGGGTGGGCTTAAGCCATCTAACAGAATGACTCACATTCTTGGAAGAGGTTACCTTGAAGTATAAAACAAACCCCATTCCACTTTATAAAGGTCAACTAGAAAAATAGCAGATGGTTTAAGACAAGTAAATATAACAGTAAAGAAAAATAAAAATTGGAAGTCTGTAAAGAATGAGAGTTTACAGACTTAAAGAAAAATGTCATTAGTTTGAAATCATAGCTAAACAATATGGTTACACAGTTGTAGAATTTATTTCAGACTTAGTGACTGTAGTTTAAAATGTTTAGAATCAAAAGAATGGTAATTTTAAGATACTCTATAAATGGACACCTCATGATCTCATCATTAAAAGTTATTATCAAGATGAAACACATATGCTATAGCCCCATTCATCAGTTTTATAATAAAAAGAAGCTTTTATAATGATTAAAGGGACTGGGAAATTTATTTCTTATATTTTCTTTCTTATTTCATTCTTATCTTCTATGTATTTCATACAGTTGTGTGCTTTTAAGAATGATAATCATCCACCATTGAGACAGCCTCATTAATTCACCTACCTTTAGACAAATATTTTATAAATTAATTTACCTTTTAATCTACAATGTATACTAAAGATTAGGAATTAATGCTTGGACTATTAGGAGAATCTTATTTTTTGCTCAGTTTATTTTTATTTATAACCAGTGAAAGGTAGAATAAGGAGGAACATTTTTTTGGTGAACATTCACAAACATTTAAGCTGACTAGGATCTATATTTTCTGTAAATTACAGGATTTCACATAAAGAAATTAGGGAGGAAATGGTCAATACAATCATACTTACGATATAGCAAGTATACGCAGTGGATTGCTTTTTCTCTTGGCATAAAAATCACCTCTATAAATGTGATTGTAAATGCTCTGTCATATATGGGTAAAATAACATTACAAGGCATCTGGGATCTTTAGCAGTTTAACATTCTCCTGAATGACTGAGGTAGCTGTTAATGGGATAGATTTTTAAAATGTATTTAAAATTGTTCTTTTTGGCACGCTTCATATTACAAGCGAGTCTAGCTTCGAACATTTTTCTCTCTGCTGGAAATAGTGACCCTGTGTGAACCTCACCATCTCTACACAGAGACATTGAATTTTGCTGTAGGCAAACTCCCTCCTTCAGCTTTTTCACAGAACACTCATAGGAAAACTGTATACTTTAGCTGCACATCCAGATGTTTTCTAAATATTCAGATGTTTGGCATTATGCTGCCGACTTAACAGTCAGCCAGCCAACACGTATTTACTGAACACCTGCTATCCCCTCAGTGCTATTCAATACACTGGGGGTTGCAGTAGAAGTGTAACTAAGAACTTGGCTCAAGTTTTAGTTTTCGATATCACTAGACACACAGTCAAATCCCAATCCTGTGCGCTTTTCTGCAAGAGGCTTTTTAGGATCCTTTTTAAAGACGGTCTTTCCCAGCAGAGAGGCTAATGTTTAAAACCAGGCTCCGGGGCGCCTGTGTGGCTCAGTCGTTAGGCGTCTGCCTTCGGCTCAGGTCATGATCCCAGGGTCCTGAGATAGAGCCCCGTGTCGGGCTACTTGCTCCGCGGGAAGCCTGTTTCTCCCTCTCCCGCTCCCCCTGCTTGTGTTCCCTCTCTCGCTGTGTCTCTCTCTGTTAAATAAATAAATTAAATCTTTAAAAACAATTACAAAAAAAATAAAACCAGATGCCTCTGTAATCTGAAGAGTAATGGTAAGAAGAATCCTAAATCTCTTCCAAAAAATAAATTTCATTAACATCTACCTTGATCATTCTGTGGAATATTAGATTGCCAAGGGCTCAGCTGCTTCACTACTTGTTTCTTTCCCCATGTGTGATTGTACACTTACAAGAATATTCTCATGCCAAGAGAATAAATATTCTGCATCTATTCTGCTTGGTTGGTAAAGACCGGGTCATCAAAAAAAAAAAAAAAAAAAAAGACTGGGTCGTCTATGGAGATGCTGTTTATGTCATAAAGACCTTGCATTTGTAATAAATGGGTTTGTCCTCTTCTCAGTATCGCATGTTTTAGTCTAAGCATGAACACACTGAAGCTCCAAACGCTTCCAGATTTGTGGAGGTATACAGGTAAATTCTCAGCTCTCTTGTTCTTCTCAGCATGTTGCTTCATAGATTTGCAGGTTTTACTAGTAAATCCTCCTGACATCCGGGGGAGTTAGGTAAATTGTGCTGCCATTTCAACAGCGAAGGTAGTTGATCAGAGCCGGAGCGGACTGAGGATGGATCACTTCATGGAGAGCAGGCATGATACCCTTCTCAGCCCCTGGCTAGTGTGGATGGAGCCCTTTCCTATACATTTAAAATAGTACATTGTGAACACAGTGGATTCAAAGGCAGCATCACATCCTTTGAGCTCTTTGAGAAGCTGATGCATGTGTCTGTTCAATTGCCCACCTCACTGAGCTGTCACGAAGCCATCTAAGGAAACTATGAGAGCCTACCTGTCTATTGGTATCTAAGCAGAAAGGGAACAGAATTAAGGCTGCTCAAGGATGTTGGTTATGTGTAGCTGCCTTCAACTAAACTTCACGGCAGGCCACGACAGCGGAGGTGTCCAGGATCTGGTCTTACTGTGCGATTTCACATGTGTGACTGAAACTTCCAACTTCCAAAGCTTGGGGTTTTTTAAGAATTGGATTTTTGTCTGACAGTCAAGATTTGTGAGGCTTGTTCAGAATCTGGAGGCTTTGTGCACAGGGGCTGTGAGACCGGGCTCTTGTGCCCAAGGAGCGGCTCCCTCTCTAAACCTTCCCTTTGTCCTCAGACTGCCCCTACGGCACCTACGGGATGGAATGCCGGGAGACCTGCAACTGTCAGTCGGGCATATGTGACAGAGTCACCGGCAAGTGTCTGAAATTTCCCTTCTTCCAATATTCAGTAGCCAAGTCTTCGAACAGGAGATTTGTTTCTCACACAGGTAAGAATTGATTTCAGTGTAAACACTGGAAAAATAACCTCATTTTCAATTTGAATAACTTAAGAGATATAGATGAACCAGAATAAAGCATTGGTTTGAGTGATTTTGTTCTTTATTTTACTCAGGGGAAAGGGGTGGTGGTTGAGTTTGGGTTGCTGTTGCTTTTTTTTTTAAGATTTCAGTAATAATTTGGGAGGTTATACATTTTTCCATAAAGTTCACCCAGTTTTATGGAGAATAAATATGATTGATTACCAAAACACCTGTAATAAGAAAATAACCAAGATATACAAAGTTCTTCAAATTCTTCAGTCATCTGTTTTATATATGTACTAGACTAAGCTACTTCTCTCTCAAGTTCATGTAGAAAAAATACACTCAGGAATTTATCGGATAAGGCTTAAGAGCCAAGATAGAAAATATAGAACATTTCTTCTTTTTTTTTAACAAAATGGGAGTATTTAAATGGAATATTTCCAAACATGCGTTTTTATGGCTTTTGGAGAGGCTAAGAGACAGTAACTGTGATTGAAATTTGGGAATTATCTCTAAGCCTTTGAACGAAACTGTAGTAATAGTCACATGATGCTTGTTCATGCATGTGTATTTCGTATCCAGGTTGTTAAAATGTGAGAAATACAACATATAAGAGAGTGCTATGGACATATTTGATTATCTTGTGGAATAAATGACCAGTATAGTAAAGCTTCACTAAATTGAAAGTAGCTCATTTAAAACAACATGTAGCCATAGAAACTGCTAATATCAACAAACTATGCAGTTCCCCGCCCCCAGCTTCGATATAAATAGTTGACAATCCAAGTCCATTTTATTTAGTTTTTGTTTCTGGGTTTTTGCGCTTCGAGTTAACTAAGATTTGAAATATTTGGCAAATGTACTTATTACCCAGCTTTACCTCCTTCTTACACATGGATACAGTTAAGTACTTTAAGAGGAAGAGGAGATACTGTACTTTTAAGTGAATTTTTATGTTGAAGTGTGGCTATGCCCTTAAACATTAATTTAAAATGAACCTTCCCCCCTTTTAAAGCTGTTAGGTAAGTATCTTTGTGAATATTTGATCTGGAAATTGAGATCATCATTAATATTTTAAGTACTTTTGACTTGTCCTATAGTCCTTGAAAAGCAAAATGGAAAAAGATTGAATTTTAAGTCCTAAAAAAAAAAAATTTTGTAGTGAGGTGAAATTTACATAACATAAAATTAACCATTTTGAAGTGAACAGCTCAGTGGCAGTTAGGACATTAACAATGCTGCATAGCTGCCATTTCAGTCCAGTTCTAGAACATTCTCACCAGCTCAAAATAAAACCTTACTATCCATTAAGCAGTTGCCCCCATTCCTCATAACCCACCCCGCAGCCCCTGGTAACCATCAATCTACTTTCCGAGACCTACACATTTTTTTAATGTTTTGATTACTTCAGTACAAGTTCGAAACCTATTGTCTTAGTACGGGTAGCTGTCTCAAACACTTGCATCTTCTTTTGTCTCATTTTGCTTTCTTAAAACTGCAGGCTACAGAGCACTTTGAAGAGCCACTTTTGTATTCCTCTTCATTCATTTATGTTTGCACATAAGCCTTTCCCACCAAGAGAGAATTGAATCCCTTGTGAATCTGGTGTTTGGGATGAATATTTGGGAGGCCATGAGAGCTCCTTTGGAATAATCCTCAGGAAGGGAATGCCCATCCCTCCCACTGCGCACCCAGCCACACGTCCTCTTCTTCACTGGACTTTTGTGAAGTCTCTTCCCCTTGAGCCTGTCACCCTCTGTCATTTGCGTGCAGATTTTGCAGATATCTTGACTACTGTATACAGATGCCTTGGACACAGATATTTTGCTGGCTGGAAGTTGCGTTAGGGGTTACACCAAAAAAATATTTCTATACCCAAATTAGGTATCAAGATTCTTAGTAGAAATTGATGGGGAAAGCATCTTCTGACCTAAGGTGTTTGCTTTCATTAGCTAACGGGGAACAAAAGATGATTACTAGTGTAATCTTCGTAACCCTTAGTCCGGTTCAGGCTGGAGAGCAGAATGTCCTAAAGGCCTTTGAGAGGCTGTGCAGGAGCTCCTCTGCTCAGTGGTGCACTCTCTCTGCTGGACTTGCCAGGGTGCATGTGCCACTGTTTATAGGAGGGGGCTTGGGGGCTCAGTCCTGCAATGGATTTCACATCACCTCTGCGCAGATCTGTTTACAAAGCCTTTGTTAGTGGTTCCAAGGTTCATCTGCACAGGGAGTTCTTGAGGTCCCTTCCATACCCTGATGACATGAGCTTATCTTCTCTAGTTTTCTTCCTATTGGCTACGATATTCTTGGCAAGGGGGCTTCCTGCCTTCCTATTTCCATTTGTTGTTGTTGTTGTTGTTGTGAGATTTCCAATTTTCTAGGCCTGGGAATTTGCAAGTGACTTTTTTTAAGGGAGGGGTAGGGACAGTAAGATCTGGAATATTTGATTACTTTGCACACATTCATCTGCCAGGCCACACTAACCATACAGCATTCCATATTAAGACATGCACTGTTGAAGCAAATATACCTCACTGCTCTTAGAAGCAGACAAATTTCACTTTGGAAAATTCTAAATATTATAAACTTTTCTGCAGAACAAGAGCTATCTTTATAAAAGTTCTGTCCTTTGATCTGCCATCTGCCTTCTGGAGCTACACAATAAGCTAATTCCTCTTCCATACCAGATAGTATGAAAATCTTACTTAGAGATCTACTTTTACGTTTGCTCATTCCGTAAATATTTATTAAGCACCTACTATGTTCCAGGCACTGTAGTTGCAGTGAACAAAACAAAGCCCCTGCCTTTTTGGAGCTGACATTCTTGTGGTGGAGTGAGATAACACACACACACACACACACACACACACACACACACAAGACAAGTGCATGTATAAAATAATGTCCAGTGATGATAGGTATATGAAGAGAAATCATTCAGGGGGTGGGAGGTGCCCCTCGACAGAGAGTGGGTGAATACAGTGAGCACAGACTCTTTGAATCTATTAAATATTTTATTGTACGTCCCTTGTCATATAAAAGTAAGATAAAACTGTTGTTCATCTTAGAGTTATAAACATCTGGACATGATTTGTATTCCTTCTAATTTCAGAGCATGACATGGCATCTGGAGACGGCAATTCTGTGAGAGAAGAACTCATAAAAGAGAATGCCCACTCTCCTGTAATGAAATGGTTAAATCCTCGCTGATCCCGGGTGGGATTTCTGAGAGAAGACTCTTATTTTAATGATCATTCAACACACAGCCAACATTTTAGGAACTGTCTAGATTATAGCATATGGACATGTGATATTGGGAGGCCAAGTGTGTGGGTCCGGAAAAAAAAAAGTAGGCTACTAACAATCCATAAAATGCATATGACTGAACACTCTTAGATATTTGTTAAGTATTTGAATGCATATAGATTTGTTAAATATGTGTTTATAGTAATACTGAAGAACTGAAAAAGCAATTTAGATAATCTTAATGTGGATGAAGATCAGCCAAAGAGAGAGCTAGCCAAAGCTGAAGACCAGAGTGAGTCCACATGTCCGTGACTCGGATGTACATTGATGTTGGGATACAGGATGGAGGGAGAGTTAGGAGTGAGAGAAGGTGGGGGCAGGGTGGGGAAGTATGATATTTAGGTCTTCCTTGTGGTAGCATCAATAGAATTTAGTTGTGCTTTTTATTTACTTGGGAAAAGTCAAAACAAAACAATCCCTGAAGGAAGTGGGATGTTTCAAGCTTGTGGGAGGTTGAGTAGCAACCTTGAACTGAGGCAGGTTTCAAAAGGCTGCTACTCGTCATGCCCAGGTTACCTTATCTGAAGGATGATTCTGGGGCAGGGGGCAAAAGTACACTCTCATAAATGGTTTTAAAGAATACCACCCCAGACTGAGAGAGCTAGGAAGTATTTTGTCCATTTGGAGGAGGTGTGAAGGTAAATATTTATATAATTTTGTAAACAATTATGTTAGTATGAGTCATCCTCCATACCCATACTTATCACTTTGAGAAAATGAACAAAATACATGGTAAGTTTATTATTAATAATTATAGCAATATTAATAGTAATAAGCATAAGAAAAAACTAGAAAAAATTAGTCATTACGGATTTATAAAATGTCAGAAAATGAGCAACAGAAGAAATTTATTTAAAAGTAAGTGCAGTGACTTAGATGAGTTTCAGATTTAAAGTAGGATACTTTTTTAAGAGGTTTGGAAAAGAGTCAATTTTCAGTAGGAAACGTCAACTTTAAAATATTGTTCATTTTCTTATTTTTCTTTCCTTTAAAGTTGGTTGATAAGTGGAATTATGAGTACACTTGGGAGGACCTTAGCACAAACAGGACTGTTGTACTAGATTTTGTTAGGAAATATTTGCAGAAGTATTTTATTTGGAGCGAAGATTATTTAAGAATTATTTCACTATTTACCTATATTTTATTCTCAAAGTTTGCCAGCAGAGTTGTGAATGTGTGTGTGGGAGGATCTTTGAATGTAAGCTGAATAAGCTGTTAGGATATGTTTTAAAAGTCAAAGTTTATGATTGTTCAATAAAAAAAATAAGACCGCTGCTTCGAGTCCATTCATGACTGTTGAATCATTAAGTTATTTAAAAGATTCATCCAGTGAACAAGGTATGCATATTAAAGGCAGGCTTCTCAACTGACTTTGTAAGCATTTTCTGTTAAAACATGAGGCTAGAATATTTATTTCTTTGCCTCACATTTTTGGTCTCTTCATGCCTTACAGCTTCCTGAAAAGTAGGTTCCTATATATTAACCCATTCTATAGAGGCAAAAACAAAAGAACAAAAGAACCCTTCTGTTACTGTTTGAAGGTGCTTACACTTTACAAGACATAGGCAAAGACAAACTTTTCGGTGCCTATAAAAGAAGAGAGTAGCATTCAGCTTTGCAGCTTGAGAGCATCAAATCCAAGAACAGGATAGGTTCATTCAGCCTTATGATGGGCAAATTAGGAAAACATTTACATGAATTGACACAATACTGAAAAAAATTTGTCTGTATTAGTAAAAACGTCAATTTGCCTGATTTAATCTTTTTCCTTTTTTAAGTTGGAAGAAACAATGTGAATGAGATAAAAATTTATATCAACGTAAGATACTCATATTAATACTAAATCAAAACAACACACTGAAAAATCTTTACTTCTACCAGCGTGCAGTGAGGTTCAGGACATGCCATCAGAGAGTGAAGTTACTTAAAGATCCCCTGACTTGGCCTAAAGCATAGGCCGCAGCCCAAATGTCCCCTTGGGGAAGGATGGACAGTGGAACATGAGCTGGACCAGGGCAGGACTTGCCTGTGCCCATGCTCTACAGCATGGGAGACCACGGGCAATGCAATCGAACAAAGGTGGGCTCATCCGCTCTCAGGTGCGGGCATGTTTTCGAGCTCTCCAGCTTCCTGGTACTGGGACCTCCTTGTGCTTTTCAAAGCAAATGCTACTCCCTGTCTATCCCAAATTGCTCTGTAGCCTTCTGACTCTATTCTTCAAAGCAGCGATTCCAAAATCTTTGGATTTTGCACTTTTTGATTGCAATATCTTTGAGCATGCAATTTTAAACTGTATAAATAGCATAGGATTAATGCACTATGTTCATTATAAAACATATACTCAGTAGAAATTTTTAAGGGATAAAAATAAATATGAATAGAAGTTCTGAGATTTTTTTTTTTCCTGTACCCCTACGGACTATCCTGGGAAACACTGGAGAAGTAAAAGAAAATGCTGTATGTCAGTGGTCTCCAGTGAGGCACGACCTCATTTGATATTGAAGAGAAACCAATCTGGCACATGTTCCACAAAATAAAGATTTATGGAATGCATGGATTAATGGATGGATGGGTGGATGGATGGATGGATGAGTGGATGGATGGATGAGTGGATGGATGGATGGATGAGTGGATGGATGG